CAGAACTACCAACAAAAGATGGAATCATCAGCCCCTCCAGCAGTGGTGAATGGGTACAGAGGAAACAGGTGGCTCTTGCTGCCTTCAGACTGACACTTGGGAGAAACTTACCTTACTGAGAGATCGGTAAGGGACAGTTAAAGGACACCTGCCCAAAGCACAGGAAATCTATTTTTCAAGTGATTGGTCTCAAATCAGCACCCTTCGTAAAGGCTCCTGGGTACAAAGCTGCCACACACAGGGTGTGTCTGCCAGTAACACTCAAAACCCATTGCTCAGACACTACCTGTCATTTAGAAGCCAAGCAGGAAAAAAGGTTATTCGAAGGCACTGGTTTCAAGGTACCAGTTTCAATCTGATGATTTCTCAATCACTCTGCTGGCTAGAATCAAAGTAGCATATTGAAAATCCAGGTCTTCAAAATAGCAGTATTTTTTGTCCGAAATAACTCTTCTAAAGAAAAGAGTTGTATTATGCAGCCTGAGGAGGAGAAGTTATATTTTACACTTTAAAATCAGACTACTATCTGCAATCATCATAATGAAATTGTATTCATCATGCTGGCACATGTGTAGGCTTCTTTATGGGACCTATGCAAAGCAAATTAAGCCCACATTGTCTTTTCCAGTAGGTTGGAAGCCAAGCATTCACACTGGCCATATGCATGCCACTGTGACACAAGAGACCATCATCAGCTCCACCTTTGGAACTGAAGTAAGAGTGAATGAGGCTGACTCACTTTGACATCACCCTGAAAATGTCTGGCACTGGCTGGTGTTCTTTCTCCATCCAGAAAAACCTCACTACAAAGAAAACAGTTCCTCAAAGATGAGGTGTTGGGTCTTCTGAGAACAGGAGTGCCTTCGTTCATAGAGAAATGCCCTTTGGCCCCCAACCCCTCCCAAAAAAAAATCACTTAACATATAAACTGCCAGTTGAAGAGAACAGATCAAGAAGAGCAAGAACACATTTTACTGGATGGAGGGGAAAAGTCTTTTCTTAATTAGAAATATACTAATATTAAGTTCTTACCAAATGCTATTTAATACATACAAGCTAACATATATTTAAATGTTTTGTACTCCAATAATAACATCTTCTAACTCTGTCACAAAAGCAACAGGTATAATCAAAGAGCTTTAAATTTTCATTCCCAAAAATGCATAAATGCTATTAGCATAATGGGTGATTATTTCCATCCCGAATAATACATTGATGTGTGTGTCTGGTGCCAGTGTTCATCACATTAGGAAAGCCCACTCACAAGTTAAAAATAAAAGAGAACATTGGCTATTTTCAAAATACACTAAAATGAATAATCTCCAAGAAACAAAGTGAATCTGAGTAGCAGGCATGACCTCCCTGTGTAACTTAAGATTCACGTGCACACCGAGAAGCCAGCTTGGCAAGTGGGGAGACCATGGTTGGGCATCTACACAACTGCTTCTCACAGTAAAGCACAAGTGTGCCAACTGCCAGGAAGAGTAACAACTCCTCACAACGTAAATCTCGAAGCTACTGTCTTGGGTCCCAGAAAATCTCCTTAATTTCAGAATCAAAACCCTAAGTGATGAAGAACTGGAAACTCATTAACAAAGCAAGGTTCAGTCCCGCAGCCCTTAGGGAAGAATTCTAATATTTGTTTTGGATTAATTATGCCAACCCCTCACAACAATGAAGCTACTTTTTAAATGTCTTATATCCAAGACCTTTCTCTGGTGACACCAGTTTCGTACATATCTCCACGACCTGAGAAAAGGTACACTGAAACCCAGGTTCAGACTCCCATATTTCATCGTGTCTAAGAATTAACATGCAATGTATTCGTTTCTAACTAAAAACCAAATTCAGTGTTTCTTCCTACAAGTGTTATCTTTAAAAGCAATCTGATACTCTTGTTTTTCAAAACTAGGGCTTCAAAAATTAACGGTTTATTCAATTGTCCATTAGCCTCCTATGAGCGCTATTCGAGGTAATGAAAAATGCATATCATGAAAAAACTTCACATGGATTTCAGAGGTTTTTTTGCACCAAAACAAGCTCATAGTTTTATACTTGCTAGAACAAATATGAACAAGATCTAGAACAGGATCTAGTTTGAGGCACTAAGAAGGATAAGTCATCAGTTTGAAAAGAGCCCCTATCAGGGCAACACTAATTCTGCTAAAACTGAAGCAAGGTCAAACATCAAATTTATAATGAAGTGTGAAGAGAAGAATTATGAAATCATTATGAAAAGCTTATGGGGACAATGCCCCCAAAGAAATCAGTTTATAAGTGGATACCTTGTTTTAAGAGGGGACGAGGTGATGTTGAAGATGCAGCCTGCACCAGCAGACCATCGACATCCATTTGAGGAAAAAAATGTATCTTGTTTGTGTCCTAATTGAAGAGGGCTGACAATTAACGGTAGAAACAACAGGCACCACCACAGACATCTCAATTGGTTCAGCTTACATGACTGACCAAAAATAAAGTTGAGCAAAGTTCCCACTTGATGGATACCAGAACTGTTGCACCCAGATCAACTGGAGACAAGCAGAGCTTTCCATGGAAATTCTAAACAAGTGGGATCAAGACATTTCTTTGAATTTTAACAGGAGATCAAATGTGGCTCTCCCAGTTCAATCCCAAAGCAAAGACCAATCAAAGCAATAACTGCCAAGAGGTCCGGTCACAGCAAAGGTGGATTGGTTCAGAGCAGAGGTCACAGCAACATTTTGGGGGATGCTCAAGCCATTTTGCTTGACTTTCTAGAAGGCCAAATGATGATGATATCTGTTTATTATGAGTGTCTTGAGGAAGCCAAAGCTCAGCAGAAAAACACCCAGGAAAGCTTCACCAGAAAGTCCTTTTCTGCCACAACAGGGCTTCTTCTCATTCCTCTCAAAGAAGAGCAATTTCACAAGAGTTTCTATGGAAAACTATTAGGGGTCCACCTCAGTCCTGATTTGCCTCTTTCTGACGTCCTGTCCTAATCTTGAAGTAAAGGGCCTACATCTTTTCCCGTTAATAATGTAAAAGAGACCGCACTGACATGCTTAATTTCCCAGGACCCTCAGTTCTTTAGGGAGGAATTAAGTGGCTAGTATCACAAAAGTGTCTTGAGCTTGATGGAAATTATGTTGAGAAATAAAGTTTACATTTCTTACTTTATCTTTTAACTCCATTTTTCTCCCACAAACTTTCCCCCTCAGACAATGCAGCAATTCAATATTGCCTGATAAGGGACTTTGTCACATTGTAGTCATATTCAGTTGAGTCACTCCTTTTACTTAGAAGTACAAGTTGTACCTCCATGCACCTTAATGTAACAAAGCTTGGGCTCTTTCAGTACTCAAGTTCAGATTTTTCTCTGCCTCACTGGCTTCCAGCCTCCAGTCCCAGCTCCTAATAACCTAACCGGCTTCAGGGAAAAAAATCGAAAGCTGAGCTTTTAGGGATCCTCCCAAGACCTCCACAGCTAAGAGGGGTGGGGTGTCGTTCCAACGCCAGGACTACCACAAAGTTCACGCCCTGGCTCTCGCCTCCCCCCTCCTCCCCCGGAGGCCGTCGCCCATCCCTGATCGCTGCATGGGGGTCCCCAGTGGGCTCGAGGCGGTATCTGAGGCTGCAGCGGCCCCACCCCCAGTTAAGTGACAGCCTCCGCGGCCACCCGGTGAGCGTGAACCCATCCCGGCCCTGCTCCCCTCCAGGAGAAAGATGAGAGTTGAAAATTCCTCAAACTTAGACGGGTGGACAGCCCAAGGAGCCAAAGGGCTCCCACATGCGCTGGACAGCCGCGAGTGATCGCCAGGCAAGGACGCGGAAGTGACTGTTCCTACCCCACCCAGACCTGTTGGCCCGGGCGGGTGTCCCGGGAATCGTACACCCAGCAACGCGGGTGCACACCACACGCACACAACTCTGCACGGAGGCGTGTACACAGGCACTGTTAAACGTGTTTTCGCCACCCGAGAAGACGAGCAGGAAAACCAGGCATTGGTCTATCCAAAATTGTTTTCTTAAAGGGGCATGGGTCACATGTGTAAAGGCTTTTGCCCTCTCACTCCTGACCACAGGTTGAAACTCCAGGGGTCCCAGGCGGCTGCAGCACTGCCTCGAGCTCCCCGAGAAGCGGTGACTCGTCCCTAACTTTAACCACCGCAACTGCTGCTGAACGCGGGCGTCTCCGCCCCGGCTGCACCTGTTCCCGATTCGGAGCACCCAGCCTCGCACATCCCTTCTGACCTTGAAGGCATCCTGAAACTCACACCCTGCTCCCGATTCGGCTTTACTCCAACCCCCTCCCCAGAGTCACTGAAGCCCTCTAGGTACCCGAGGGGCCGGCGTCAAAAAGCCCATTACCGGCAAATTCACACCGCTCTTTCCTGGGGTCTCTGGAGATAATGGAGCACCCCTCTACCCATCGCTTACCCCCACTCGGTCCAGCTGCCGCGCCTTCACGTCAGGTTGGACCTCCTCCCTCTCCACCAAGTGCAGAACCCCTAACTCTCCCAAGTCCAGGGTTCCCTATCGTGGGTATGCGGGAAGAAAGGACGCCTTGGAGGTGAGCCCTCAGGAGCCAGAGCCCCCAGGGCAGAGTTCACAGTGGGGACAGGGTACTGCGCGCGGGCACACCGCGGGGCACCGTCCGGCGCACAGCGCTCAGAGCTGGCAGGGTCGCCCTCGCAGTTCGGAGAACTCGGCTGGAGCCGAGCCCGGGCAACGAAAGTAGGGGGCGCGGCGGGAAGAGGGCGACAGCCCCAGCTTGGGGCTGAGCAGTGGCGCTGCGCGAACTCCAGGAGCCCGGCAGCCGGTCATTGCGGGCGTTCCCGGAATCGCCAAACTTTCTCCGCCAACTGAAGTTAGGGACGCCGAGGACTGAGACGAGGGACAGCAGGAGGGGTCTCCCGTCACCTCCCGCCCCCAGGAGTCGCGGGAGAAGGCGATCCTGAGTGTTAGGTGGCCCCGAGCGCGCCGCCCCTTCCCCGCGGCGCCTCCCCCGCGGCCGCGCTCACCTGACTGTAGAGCTCGCCCACCGACATGGCTCGGGCCGGGCGGGGCTCGGGCCCCGGCTCCTCGCTGCCCCGCGGCTCTCAGTCCGCTGCCAGCCCGCCTAGCGCCATGTTCCCGGGCTGGCCTGGAGTTTCTCGCTCTTCTCGTTCTTCCGCGACCTGCCGGGCCGGCTTCCCGGAGGTTCCTCGGCCGGCTCGCTCCCAGCTCCCTCCCGGCGGCGCGACCTTTACTCCCGCGGCGGCGGCGCAGCTGCGGCCGGGCAGGAGTTGCGAGCGCCGGGGGAGGAGGCCTCGCGGCGCCGCTCCCCGCCCAGGTGTAGGGAGGAGGCGAGGGCCGGCGAGGAGGAAGGACCCGCGCGCGTCAGAGCGGACTGCCCGTGCGCCGCCGCGCCTCTGAGCCCTGCCGGTGCCGGGCCTGACGCGCCCTCCCGCGCCCCCACTGCCACCTGGGCCTCCGGGCCGGGGGCGGGGCGCTCTGAGCTGAGCTCGGGGACCAGCGCGGGCCGCCCCCTGCTGGACGCGGCGCGCGCAGGCACAGGTGCGCCCGGGTGCCCACACCTGCCTCGCCGCGCTCCGCTGCTACCAGCACAGGGCGCGGCTGACACCCGCACGCACGCGGTGCAGAGTAAAAGGGAAGAGGAACTAAAAAGAGAAGGGGAAAGAAGAGAGAAGCGTTTATGGCTGGAAGGCCCCCAGACTTTGCCCTCGATTTTACCTGGCTGTATTCAGCGCTTTCATTATTAAAATTCGGTTACTCGCAGATCGTTGTTAAGGCCTTCCGGATATACATTCACCAAGGATCTCCTTCAAACTGAACTCTGCGCAGAAATCCTTGCAGAAACGTGGGAGTCTAACTCCTGTAAAAATACTGGCCACTTTCGCCCACAGCCTCCAAGCAGACTCCAGGCCACTCTTCTCAGGGGACTTTTGCTTTTCCGGGAAGTCTCACGTTCTCCCAACCCCTGTCTCTCCTACTTGCAGACTCCCTGTCCTTTTGCCACTCACGACCTCATTTATTTGTGTTCCGTTTGCCCATGGCACTTCACTGCCTACAGCAACTTCAGCTCCTCTCCTACTTCCAGGGGAAAGTAGAAATTTCAACCAAGGGGAAAAACAAAATTGCCAGGAGTTGGGAGGGAGAGCAGGGGCTGTCAGAGAGACACTCCCTTCTGAAGGTGACATCTGCCCTGAACCAGGAATGGCCCCTGAAGGTGGTTCTCAACCAGAAGATATATCTGTACCAGCTGGGGCAGTTCAGGAGCCAC